GCTGCTTTGACCATGTCTGCCGGGGCTAATTTGGGCTGAGAGGGATACAACGTCCCAGCAGAGAGATGGAGATGCTCGGTTTAAAAAATCGGCCCACACGGGACTCGAACTCAGGCCTAATCGCTACACCACAGGTTCCAGTTGCATGATATGATCGAATATCTATTTCTAGATAGATGAGAGCTATATCTTCTTTGTTGTATAGCCTCTCCCTTCTTTTCCTCCTCCCCCTGCAGGATATTAACATGTTCTCATGGACAATAGAGTTGTAAATGGGCTGATTTATCAATGCCAAGCTCATACTGTGCCGAAACAACACAGGGGGAACTGCTGCTTTTTCTTTCCTCATCGTTACTTTCGTCATTTTTCCACTACCTCTTTTGTATGTTTGTCACTCTCTTGTGAACTGCTATTTCCGGGGTTCCTTGATAGTCGAAGCAGACTTTGTGCTGTTGAGGCGCTCAAATAATCTTATGCAGTTGCGAGCGTCGTTAAACGTTACTAAAACTTCTCTCGTTTTATCCCATACGTTGAAAAAAGAGAGGGGGTGGGGGGTAATTAGCACCAAATGTTTGAAAAAGGAACAGAACAGTTTACAGAAAACCTGCCTAAAATATGTTACACCAACTCGTTATAATCGAGCAACGTAGGTTTTAATGCACACTATTAACACTTTTATTCCAGAAAGGTGTTCATTTAAAAAATTTACTCACTATCTGGCCAACAGTTTGAAACAGACTAAACTATAAAGAATCTTTCGGAATCCAGTCTGCTGAAACGACCCTCTTTTATAAAAAATCAAAGTTGCATGTTGGCAGTGACGAAGAAACGCTGAGCCCAGTGCCGAGAGTTTTGGGGAAGAGATTACACACCTAGGAAGCTTTTTGTTTAAAATGTGTGTTTAATTGTAAGGAAATAATTATTTTTTTTTGGTTGTTTTTTGTTGCAGTTCAATTCTTTTCTAAGCATAATATGCGTCAACTGGAGGGCACGAAAGCACCCTGGGTTTAAAGCAGAGTCAACGCCCGCCTCTGAAATTATCACATTCGTGTCGATTGGATGGGAGCTTGCCAAATTTTGTAGTTAGCCTCTGGGTTTACGGTTTGGAAAAAGTGTTACGGCGCTCACAATTGCATAAGGTCATATGAGTGCGCGGGATACAAGTTGGTTGTTTTCACGTTAGTTCATAGCCCAGAATGGTTAAAGTATCTAAAATATGTAGTAAAAATGTAGTTGTAAAAGTAACAGTTTGCATCTGAAAATAGCACTATTTATATCTTTGGGTAAAGACTCATTGCCCTTATAAAATCGAGAATTCTGTTGGTTACAACGACAGAGAAAACGTCTCTAAATCAGTGCATTTATTTCCTTCGGGTCTGTCCAAAGTCCAGACAATCTATGAGGATGTGATTGATCGTAAATTTGGCACCGCACGCAGCACTGCCAGTCTCTGCGGTGCATGTTGGTTCAAACAAGGCCTTAGAATCCCAAAGTTCTACAGGACATTTTTGGCCGTTTTTGAGTTACTGAGACCATGAGGTCAGAAACTAAATTAATATTCTATCTTCTCTATCAAAATCGTAAGATTATTCGTTATCAAGATATTCAAAATTGCATTCGAAAAAGCTTGACATATTGTGAAACTCAAAAATCTTTGCCGTCAAATATCTCAAAAATTGGCTCAAAGCCGATACAACTAATTCAAGGGCATCGCGTGAGGTGGGAATTAGGGATGCAAATCCGCAGGGGCTGCAACTTTTTCATGACCCATGAGAATCGATGACCCTCGGGAAATAATCTTCTACCTCAACCGTTGTTTTCTATGTTTTTGTAAATGTTTTGCGGCGCTCTCAACTGCATAAGGTCATATGAGCGTGCGGGACACAATCAACATTTTCAGGTTGGTAGGAACTGATTTTGAATTTTGCCCGGGTGGTGGTCGAAGCCTACTCTATTTTGAACCACCAATGGGTCTTTAACGTGAGCAACTCACACATGGGAATTCTGAGATTTGTTCGCCCTTATCCGAGAAGACTTGGTGTTAGATCTTACTAACTCTAAGATTTGGGGTGTGGCTGAAAGACAGCACTAAGAAACAGTCAAGGAGTAGCAGAAGAAAGGCTGCAGAAAGAGTCAGGAGCCCAGAGGAGGAGGCAAAGGCGGGTGGGGATAAGGGACCCCCCCCCACCCCCACCCACGGTTAACCGCTGTGACACGGGACTTATCGCTTCGACTTCTAAACTTCTTTCAGTGCTCCTAGGAAGACGTCAAATATCTACTTTTTAAAACTTTTTTTCTGTGCCCACGTACCGCATAAGGTGTCGAGGGGAAATGTGCCAGATGTATTGCCTTTCGGGTCGTCTTGCTGTTTCTTTGGAGTATCTGACACTATGAACAACTAACTAAAAGCGTCCTTAAGCATGGAAGCAAAGAGAAAATAGTTGAATGTGCTTTACGCTTGTTGAGAAGACTATAACTGTTCACTTTTCAAAAAAAGGCTTTTTACGATGCAGAACAGAATAAAAAAGACTGTAAATTATACTACATTAGCCCACTTTATATATACATGAACATCTTTAAATAAACGAGGATTCAGTTCAACAAAAAGGGAAAAAGCTTCATTGTCGCTTTTAAAGACAAGCGGGCTAGCCCAGATATCGGGGGTTTCTAGAAACCTTGACCTACACCAAAAATTGACATTGCCCTACCTATAGGAGAATTTGGTTTTATTGGTGTGTATATTTCTTTGGTTATAGAGAAAACTCTCCTTGTCTTCTAAAAAAAAATGAACAAAGGTCCAAAAACTTTACCTTCGATTTTCTCAAAACAACATTTTTCGGGATAGCCCCCGTGAGCTTAAAGGCGACCAATTCGATCAGCCATTTTCGATCACACATATCCCTCTGACCTAGCGACTCTCACTTCTCATTTCTGTACGGCCTTACCTCAGGAGATGTGAGTCCTTCCGGTTGTGCCATGGGTTGCTGTCATGGCTGCGGTAATTTTTCTTCAGCAACGGGGCACACAGCTTGTTCCCCATGGCGGTCCTGCTGATCTATGGTCACGTGATAAAGACGTCACGTCGAAAAGATGAAAAGAAAGCTACATATCCGATGCAACGATTTGTAAACCAAAACAAATCGCCCTGCCCCTCAGCGAAATACCACGAACACACAAAGAAGATTCACATTTCGAGGTAGATGTTCCACTCCAATAATCCAGTAACTCTTCAGAAAACAATAATCCTTATTTGAATCTCCAAACGAAAAGAATGATTCAGGCAGGCTCGTAGGTTTATGGACACTCCTCCATTAAATAATAACAGAAATCTTATCGTCGCGCTTCACTGTGATATTCCACGTCCATTAGAAACTTGTACAATAGAACACAGTAGTATCCAAATTTAGATGGTGAAGTTTCCAACGAGTAAACTGAGCAATCACAATTGACAGGAAACTTTCCTAGTAGGTCACAACATAGCACGTCCTACAGAAGTAGAGTAAAAGAACAGAACCGAAAAATGTATACAATTTCTTTTTCCTTTCCTCGTAAACAACAAAGAAAATGCACTGATTTTGCCAATTCAACTTCACTACTTATTACCCAAATAGTACGCACTATATACTGACAGGGTATTAAGGATGTGTCATTTTTGTAGGAAGATTAGTGTTAGTTCGGTCGGCAAAAGAGAAGCAAAACGAGGAAGGGAGACAGAAATGACACGCTTAAAGCAGAAAGTTTTGTTAAACATGCATAAGTAGAATTAGTCGCGTCGGTAATGTAGACTGAAACCGAACTTCACCAATAACACTGAGCATGTAACACTGGTGTTTTTCTCACATAGGATTATGACTATCTTTCTGAAACACTGGCGAAAAACAGATACATTATGTTTTACTTCATAAATCCTAGGTGGAAATGAAACAGATCTCGCTGCCTTGATGTGCGGATATGGAAATATTCCAATCTCCTTTTCAGCTTGATTCTGCTGGTACGTGTGAACGGCGCACACAAAGATCCAAAATGCATGAGGAATCTTTCTTTAAATGTAAACCAGTATTGAATAAAATTTACTCAGCATAAATATGCCGTCTCAGTTGATCTTTTTTCGACTCGTGTCTCAAACAGCTGAAAACGAAACAAGTTCGAGATACAACTTTCGAAGAGTAGACCTGCTCGGTAAAACGTTCATCCAAATTTCTGTTTCACCTCTTCATGATCCCAAGAACAGTTGTTGGCTGTTTTCCTTCGATGCAGTCCGTATCTGCGAAAGACAAAAGATGTGAATGAAACAAAACGCTATTCACCTACACTTGTCAATAAAGAAATGAGAAGTTAGAAGTTTCGCACAATCGAAAATCCATTTTTGGAATTGTATAATATCCTTTTTTTTCTTTATTTCTGAAAAAGGGGGAGGTGGGGGTAACTTAAAAATGATGAAAGCCATTTAAGGCTAAAAAATTGGAACACAAATAGCATCTTACACTTATATATGAACAGAAACAATATTAATAAAAATGTAGATCATTTTTACAGCACCTATTCCCGAGTGCACTCGTCTCAAGGCGCTCTACATCAATTCAAGTTCAAAGAATAAAAGAACAAAAACATTAATAAAGGTGAAAGATATTCCGAAGGCCATCTCCAACGTCTCGCCCCTTTTTTAAAATCCATTCTTAAATATAGAAACTTAGGGGGGGGGGTGGGAGGAGGTGTAAATTATAGTAAAACAGGAAGGTAAACAGAGATATTTTAGCATAATTAATGGAACTGCCTGGACAGTTTGACGAATTGATCACTCTCTGATACTATCAGACCAAAAGAAAAGAAAACCATACAAATTAACCCCCACCCCTACACCTACCCCAACACACACACACACACGCACACGCACACACACACACACACACACACACAAACACCTACACACGCGCGCGCGCGCACACACACACACACACACACACACACACACACACACACACACACACTCAATTAATGATGCATGCCAGATCCAACGAGATAAAAAAAAAGAAAAATATTGATTACGAAAATATTGATAAACGACCGTGAATTTCATTACACCCACAGGAGTATTGAGCGTGTACTTTTAGCGAGATCCTTGTATCTTTACTCGTATTTGCATTTATTAAGGTTTTACATCCCCATCGACTACCGGACTCGTAATCGTGACATTCGCCGGTTCGGGGGTTCGAGCCTCAGCTCGGTCCGACGTTGTGTCCTTGGGAAAGGCACTTAACACGAATTTCCCACTTGGCTTGGTCCTTTCGGAGACGGACGTTAAACTAGGAGGCCCCGCCTCTTAAATGACCTAATAGTGTTGATAGGAGCGTTAAACCCATATCATTTCACCTTTTCATCAACCCCATCGACACAATTTATATCACTTGGGAGGAGGGCTTCCAGTTTCCACCCTGCGTGTCAGGTTCAGGCCGGGCTGAGAGGGATACAACGTCCCAGTACACCGGCCTAGTGGGTGGTTGGCGGGTGCTCTGGTGTGGTTTGCTTCTTCTTTCCTATCAAACATCTATCGTCCTTATCTCCCCTTCTTCGTTTTATGGTTGTTACTCTCTTGTAACAGCTCTAATCTTCAGGAGCTCATATGACCTTATGCAGTTGCGAGCTCCGTAAAACCTCTACTAAAACTAAGACTAACACCGGCCTAGATACTCGATAAAAATTCTTCGCACACGGGACTCGAACTTTGGTCGTCTGCGTGCAACGACGGGGCTCCTAACCGCTACACGACAGACGCCAGATGTAATCCTTGCATGGCAGGGTTCAATGTCGCATGAGTAAAAAAATATATATATTCATAAGTCCTTACCCATGCTGTACTCACAGGAATATTTGAGCCACCAGCTTCACTGGATACTGAGTGGGGGTATTTTTGTTCAGTTTTGGTAAGTGTTTTACGGTACTCGCAATTGTATAAGGTCATATATGAGCTCGCTAGACACTCTGAACATATTCAGTTTGATAGAAATTAATTTTGAATTTTGCCCGGGGGGCAGCCGAAGCCTACTCTTATCTTTTAAGACCATCAAGGGATTTTTAACGTGCGCAACTTGCACACGGAACCACCGAGATTTTTTTCACCATTTTCCGAGAACGCTAGGTGTTAGATCATACCTAATCAGAGGTGGGACTGAAAGTCTGCATTAAGAAGGAGCCAAGGAGTAGCAGTAGAAAGACATCAGAGAGAATCAGAGGCCTAGAGAACGGGGCAAAGAGAAAAGGGGGGGGGGGGGGGGAGGGGGAGGAGAAGGGGGGGGGGGTAGAAACAAACACACAGACAGACAGGGGGGTAGAAAGTGGAGACGAAAGCAGATGACAAAACATGATTAGGGAACAGGAAAGGTGAAAGGAGAATTTTTTCGAGGGAAGAAAATTTTCGTTGGTGTCAGGTTTCGACCTGGGGCCTATTGAATGAGAGCCGAACACTATATCTCTCTAGAACAGGGAGAGCCGTCAGGGTATTTTTGAAAGAATAAAGTCAGTATGAATGTTTCTTCAAGACAGTTGGACCTGTACAGGACGATTTCTCATTGTCAAGTGGAAAAGCGGTTATCTCAGACAGATGGTTGTCTTGGACAGTGTCTTCTTTTTTAATAGCAGAGGGTTTTACGGCGCTCGCAACTGCATAAGGTCAGTGTCTTCTTCACACATGTAACTTTTCTATTTTAGTGTTGTATTTTGTTTGGTTTGGTTTTCGGATTTCTTTATTCAGTTCTGCTTTGTTTTTGCTTGTTTTGTTTTTGTTTGTTGGTTGTTGTTGTTTTGTTTTTTTGTATTTTTTTGTGGGGGGGGGTGTTTTTTAAGGGGCGGTATTTTGACACGGATAGGTAGGTGGTGAGTCACAATAACATCCCCAGCCATCCGGAAGATCAATCAGTGGCTTCTAGTGCTTAATCATCTATTAATCCGCCTCCGCTTCTAGGTCCGTGAGTATCCTTCAAACGTTTCTAATCAGGTAACGACCGAATACATCAATAGTTTAGAGCCTCATCTTCTTCAATTTGGAGATAAGTTTCGTATTTTTGAAAAATAACCAACCTTTCTATGATTTTAAATATAAATGATTCGACTAATAAAGAGTCTTCGCAGATTTCAGGAGAGTTTTTTTTTACATTGGATCAATACGCAAAGGTGATTACGGTCTGAAATAAATTCTGTATTAAATGGATACTCATCTTGTCATCAAATGAGGAGGAGATTAGAGGGTTTTTTTTAAAGAGAATGCAAATGAAGGTCGATGAGAAGTTTTTGTTATTGTGGTGGAGATTGTAGCGTTGTTGTTGTTTTTGTTTGTCGTTTTTGTTTATCAGTTTTGTTAGGGGGGGGGGTGTTTGTGTTTTCGCTTTTTTCTGTTGAGCGTGCTTCTAGACAACAAGATAGATAGATAGATAGATAGATAGATAGATAGATAGATAGATAGATAGATAGATAGATAGATAGATAGATAGATAGATAGATAGATGA